TATTGCATCCTCACTGAACGTGACGTGGTGGAACTGAGAAGAAAGCTCATATGGGGAGATATTCAGTCCTGACCTGAAATACAGTCAACCCTCGACTTACAAACGGCTCTAGTTACAAACATTTCGACTTACAAACCGGTCTGATAGAAAAATATTGACTCGACTTGCAAACTTAGATTCGAGTTACGAACCGAAAAAAACCATGCGGAAGGTAGGGAAAGTGTTAAATTTGAACTTTCAGTTAACCAAGGTCTACCCGTATCACCTGCGTGAATCAGAAGGTGAGGCTGAGGAACCTGACACCAAGAGAGGCCCGGAAGGAAAGAACTAGAAACCGGGCCTTCTCGGCAGTGGCTCCTCGTCTCTGGAACAATCTCCCTCCGATGATTCATGCGGCCCCTTCGTTGGGTATCTTAAAAAACCAACTGAAAACATGGATGAACCGAAAAGGGGGGAAAAAAGCGGGAGAGGCATTCTGGCTTGCAAAGCCTGGGTCAATCAGCACAACATGCTTTAAAACATGCTTTCAAATTGGCTTCGTTGAAAAAAAAAAGATTTCAAAAGTGCTTTTAAAGCTGTTCCCTGCCTCCCCACTCCTTTCCTGAACTTTTCTTGACCTAAGAAAAAAAGAAAAAATATTCCCCTCTAGTGGCAGAAGGTGGAATAGCAGCTTCCCATTAGTTTCTATGGACAGAAAAGAGCAGATACGGATTAAATGGTTTTCAATGCATTCCAATGGGAAATGCAGATTCGACCTACAAACTTTTAGACTTACAAACTGCCTTCCAATACGGATTAAGTTTGTAAGTCGAGACCCCACTGTATATAGAACTTTACAAGTCATAAATAGCACTTTGAATTTAGGCCTGGAAGTAGACCAGTGGCCAATGAAGTTTTTGTAATCAGCCTGATCAACAGCTTGAAGCTACAGTACTAATGTTTCTGGAACATTTTCAAAGGAAACTCCATGTAGACCGTGTTACAGTAATCCAAGTGAGATGTGACTATAAGGCGTGTTTCCCCATAGCCAAATGAGACCTCTTAAAGAATGGTCACAGTTGGCTACCAATTTTAACTGTGCATATACACTCCTGGCCACTGCCCAGACCAGAATACACTGGCTCAGGGATGAACCCAGGAGCATACCCAACAATGCATGAAGAGGCTGAGCAAGATCACTGACTGGAGGGACAGAAACATGCCATCACTGCGAGATGTTTCAAGGGGTTATCCTTTCTATTTCACCATATGGCAGTGGGTGCATGAAGTTAACACTGAGCCAATTTTAGCGAGTGAGTAAGAACCCTAAATCCAAAACCAGAATGTACGCAATGCTCCAGTCCCTGCTTCTTATCTTGTAAATCTCTCCTCAATAGTTTCACAAGCCTTAAATTTGTTTCTCTCCCACTCTGTGGTCCCAGTTACTCTCCCTGCAGTTTTTGCTAATGGCTTTTCAGCCAGCCAACTTTTTATAGAATCCCTTCTTTTAATAGTAGCCACGATCATCAACAATTTGCTGTGTTATTAGGGAAGTCTGGCACTTGAGTGAGTAAAGGGATATTACACTTTGAAAACCCTAAAATTAAATTTAATAAATGTGTATTTAAAAACTAAGTAACCCTGAAGCATACATCTGCAGGGTCCCTTTAGAAACATTAACAAAAAGGAACTGGTACATCCACCAAAGCCGTAGGCAAGGAGAGAATATAGTCCTAGGATGTAAAAATTGTAGTATGTGCTTTATTTCAAAATAAAAGCCAGACATATTTTGGCTTGGCCTTTTCCAGCTCTTTTCAAGGATATGAATATTGCACTTCTGTTAGTTCCATTTTATAAAACTTTTTGTTTGTTAGGTCTAAGTCCAGCTCTTTTTGAAATAGTAAATTTTTACATCCTGGCACTATACTCTCTCCCTGCCTACAATACCCCTTAGAATCATGCCACATTTCAGGTATGTATGCTACAGTCTTGGAGCAATAACAAGAATAGAAAAATACACAAAGACATTTCTATTGCTATCATAGAATTGTTCAGGGTGCTGAGAAATAATTAAAATCCAGGAATTTCATCTTTTCCGCAGTGCTCACAGTCTTCTCTGCTACTTCTCACGTGCTTTCTTTCATACTGGTCTCTATGTCTACCAACCCTCTTTCTCATTTATCTTGTACCAGGGTTCAAATGCTGTGTTTCAGCCAGGCTCTCTGCCAGCAGTGTCCTGATCAAGGCCAATTAAACTTACTAAACAAGAAGGTGAATGGCAAAGTTATGAATAATCAGATTGTTTTATAGCACGGGGAAGGCAGGAGATGGATAGCAAGGTCAATGTCTGAAGAGCCACGAGTCGGTCCAGAAAGTCCTTTATGAAGGTGTGATCAATAAATGGAGTCAGAGACAAACTGAGTCAGAAAAACACAAGGAATCCAAAGCAGAGACACCTGAAACCAGATGCAACATGGGATGTTCCTGTTGCTTTCATCAAACAGCTCTGATTGTGATGGTTCTTTGCTTGAGCCTGACACCTCTGTTCCAGGTGTTGGAGATTTTCACCTGTTTACTTGGTATTTCTGCTTCAACAGCTAGAGCTGTTGGTACTCTGGCCATGGTTTCTCCTTCAGCCGAGCATCTGTCCCTTTCTCCTTCAGCTGTCTTCTTTGGAGGATTCTGCCAAGTGAGGAAGGACAAAGAAGCCCATTAGCTCCATTCTCTAACCCCAGTGTTATTTAATACCTTCTTCCCTGCCCCATTTTATGTTGTTTGCTGGTCTTCCCCCTCTCTCCTTCTACTCCATACTCAGTTCAGTACTCACACGATAGAAACTGTAGGTTCTGCACAGCTCCCAGAATCCTACAGCCAAAATAGCCAGGTGAGATATATAACTTAGCCAGTTATTTAAGGCGGGACATAATGTTTACTCATAGACCATGAGACTGACAAACTGCCTATCACCGAAAGAGATCAGGATGGTGTGCTGAACAATAAATATATTCAAAATGATCACAGAGCTGTAGAACCATAAATACAAAATATAATCACAAAATAGCATTAAAGTGCAATAACAATACGGTGGGACAGAATGACCACATTAAAATACGTAGGGAAAGAGAAACATTTTTGAGCCAGTGGTGAAATTACTGCAAGGTTTCTTTAATCACACTTCTTGGAAAAAGTATTCCACAAATGTTTTATGTTCTGTTTCTGTTTTATGCTTAGCTTCTGTTTCATTAGTAATTAAGAATATAAGCTGACAAACCTGTTTCATTTCTCTTCAGAGTCCTGCAGGGACACTTACGTAGCAGAACATATGGATTATATACAAAGGTCCCAGGTTCTATTCCACTGGAAACTTCTTTTAAAATGTTGGTGGTATGTGCAGTCAAATTGGGTCTAACGTACAGCAACCCTAACAGGAATGTAAAGGAAGTGAGATATTTAAGGAATGGTTTTATCATTGCCAAATATTTAAGGAGTAGTTTTACCTCACCCCCAGCGAGTTTCCATGACTCAGTGGGGATTTGAACACAGGTCTCCTGAAGTTCATTACTTTATACTACATTGGCTACTTTTTAAAATAGCCCAAGTTAAATGGTCTGGGAAAACGTCTCTGTCTTTCTCTGTCTCTCTTTACGATCCTGAAGATCTGCTGCCAATTGTGGTAGACCTCATAATTAGAAAGGATGTAGCCATACTGTACCTTTTCAAGAGAGGAGTAGGCAGAAAGGATCATTGGGGAGCAAGGGGTTGGGAACAGGAAACCTTAAAGAAGGTTTTGGGGGCGGGCGGGAATTGACAGACTGTGAACAAAATGTTTTTAGAATTGTTATTCTGAACTACAACTTATGACATATAGAAGAAACTGGATTAAATTAAATGACAACATGGTCCGCAAATAAAACAGTTGTGTAACCTAAGTGATAATGAATGTTGGAAATACACATTATAATGCGCAAGTTACCTTGTTGGAACCATGTGAACTGTTAATAAAGTCTAGTGTATAGTGGTTATTCTGGAAACCTGTAGAGTGAGTTCTTATTTGAAACGCTTTCAATGCTGATAGTTTCAAACCCCTGAGATGTTAAGTTTGCTTTTACATGGCATAGCACTGAAATCTTGTGCTAGCAACACATTTGAAGAAAGTTGAAAATGAGTTTCACCTGCTGCTGTAGCTGCAGCATGCATACAGCAATCTCACTCTGTGCATAGAATGACACATGTCCATTGCTAATCCCAGCTAGAGTGGACCCACCAATTATTTGCAGTGTTGATTTTCTATTTAGCAATTAATTCAACTGGTCTACTGTTTGAGACGAGCAATAGAGTTCTGGCTGAAAAATAAGGTTCTTTTCACCCTAGTGTGTAGGACGGTATAACCAGAAGTGGCTCAAAGCCGTTTTATGAGTGAATAACAAAATGTATTGAAGTTTATCACAAAGAATCAGGCAGAAATTGTGAATGCATTTTGTTAAATTATAAATGATGAAAAATGTTCAAGTAAAAGTCAGTACAGCAACATTGCATAAAGCAAATTATAAAAACAAACTAAGTATTACATAGAAATGGTTGTTCTAAGTTTTTCGGGCTCTTTGTCCGTGTTCTGAAGGTTGTTCTTCCTGATGTTTCGCCAGTCTCTGTGGCCAGCATCTTCAGAGGACAGCAACCTGTACTTTGGTGTAGTTGGCTTGGCTAGATGCATGAGCGAAAAAAATCAGTCATCTTTTGTTATTTTTGAGACACCCGCAGCCTAAATTGTGAGCCGCCCAGAGTAGACTATGTCTAGATGGGCGGCATATAAATGCAATAAATAAATAAATAAATAAAATATTTATGGGTCAGCTAAAAGTGTCCACTGGTCCCTATTGGCTTCCGCGAACAACGTTGAGCTCTCCGAGGTACGATATACAAACGGTGTCCAAATAGTCCCGGAATATATCCACCCCGTATACGTCTAACACATCCGGTCTCTTGTGTCGGCATGGTGCGTGCGTGCGTGGACTTTCTGCTGCCCTGCGCGTCTGCGCCGACGTCCATGGAGGCGGCGGCGGCGCGCTGAAGGGGCAACTGGGCCCGGAAAAGCTTTTTTTTTCCCCAGGGCGGTTCGACGAACGGCGGAGAAATTGTGTTCCGCCTTTGCCGCTGGCGCTTCCTGTGGGCCTCAGCTTTTTGTCGTGTGGACGCGGCAAGTCCCGTGCACACGATGGGGCGCAGGCAGCGCCAGAGACAGAAGGAGAGCCGGGAGAGGAGGCCTGGGGTGAGTCGCGGCCTAGTCCGGGGGGGGCGGGAGAGGCGGCCTGCGCGAGGTGGCCTGCGCGAGCCGTTGCCCTCTGCGCGTGAGGGGCTCGCGCAATGCCAGGCCTGGTCTGTAGGGAGGCCCTGCGGATGGCACGCGGAAAGCTCGGCCGTGGGGAAGAAGAGCGGCCTTAGGTAGGAGCGCAGGAGCATCCCGCGTAAACGGGTGTCTCGTTCTTGGCATGTGGGTCGCGTTGCGTTTTGCGCGTCGTTAGTTTCGATCTGTGTGAGAACTGACGGACGTAGCTCTCGTTTTCTTCTTCCTAGGGCTGGCCAGAAGGTGGTTACCCCGAGATCGTAAAGGAGAATGCGTTGTTTGAGCATTATTACAGTAAGCTGGGCATCGTGCCCGAGGGGGAGTGGGAGAGCTTTTTGGCAGCCTTGCGGGAACCGCTTCCTGCCACCCTTCGCATCACAGGGTATAAAAGGTGAGTCGTGCTAGTGTGGTTACTGATCTGGCTGTAATTCCTTGGTTTTTATTTGATAACAGAGATTGCTGATGTAAAATATGATTGTGCCCATGATTCTTAATTTATCTTTCTTAATTTTCTTTATTTTCACGTGGCAGGTTGCAATCCTATACTCCTACACACAAACCATCAGAAATGAGCCCCCTGTCAAGTGACGGGGGCTCATTTCTGATGATTTGTGTGTAGGAACTGCATTGGAAACTTCATTTATATTATCATGCAGTAGTTTCCTGGAAAGTGAGCCTATATTATTAGTGTTGTCTGTATCAGTGTCTTGGAGTGCTTGATGCAGAGCTTGAGACTGGGAATTAAAATCCCCACTGTGCGTTCTGGGAAAAGGGCCAGCCAAAGTTCCAAGGAGGATGCATGGCTGATGAAGGCTTGCATGCTTTGTCACTTGTACAACCTTCACAACCTGCATAGTTTCAGGGGACCACAAAAAGAAGGAATGATAAATCACTCCCTGAGTTTTCAGTACCCACAAAACTCTGAGAGGATCACTATAAATTAGAATTGACTTGAAGGCCTGTAATGATTAGTATTGTAAACAGGCATTAGGGATATAGCTGATAGAAAGCAACATGTTTGATTCCATTCTATGAATTCCTTGTAGAGATAAAATTCAGACCAGCAACTTATCAATTCATCTTTTCAGGTGCATATGAAGGGAGAGAACAGTTTCAAGTTAAAATATACATGCATACTTTACAATATTGTTCATCCTAAAATCTAAGAATACAACTGACTAATGTTCTCTAAACAAATGAGGTCCAGTGACCTTCAGAATTCATATTCAGTTTCAGAGCTCCGATTCTACATTTGGTAGGCACATGCAGGTTGTATAGATCCTCGTGGGTGTATCAGTCTTGAATGTTAAATGTTCTGTTGTTGGAGATTATCTTACTATTGAGCATTGAAGCAAATCGGAGGCAGCATGGATGCGTAATTGCTGGAAGAAAAGTGTCTCGCTGAAGCTGTGACTGAAGGATTTGCATTACAAAAAAATACAGTTGCTGACTTTGCATCACATAAACTAATGACCTGGAAATAACTTGGAATCTTTTGGTGTTTTTTGCTGTATAGAATACTGGTCAGATCAGTGATAATATAGAAAACCCGTTAGTGGGTAATTTTTATGGTAAATAGGCATATCTGTCTTCACAATGGTTAGTGGTTATTTGAATTATAGTTTAGTCTTCACAGAAAAGGGGGACATACTGAAAATATTGGGTTTGAAATGACAGAAATAGGTAGTAGTTTTTCTATGTATCTTCAAGAGTAATTCTACTGAAATAAGGTTGTTCTCTCCATAACTTGACATGCACATTGTTCTGATTTTTTAAAAAATTATTGTAGCCACGCCAAAGAAATTCTTCAGTGTTTGAAGAACAAGTACTTCAAGGAATTAGAGAACCAAGTTGTAGATGGTCAGAAAATTGAAATGCCACAGCCGTTAACCTGGTAAGGTCACTTTGCCATTATACAATCAGTTTATTTAAATTGTCTCTCATTGTGCTGTGTGGTCATAATTATTAACAATATAACACACTGATTTTTCATTTTAGCCTCTTTGAGGCTGACTGTTTTTCGGTATGATGGACCAGAATTGCCCAGAACTCTGCACATTGTCTTACCTCCTTCCTTAAAGGTCCAGTCTGTGGAGAAGGAGGCATCCTGGAATAAGTTAATTCCTTTCTCAGTCCAAACCAGGCAGGAGGAATGAACTTGAAAAACTTAACAGTCATGCTCCACAAGCTTCTCACAGTTTGCCTTCCCTAGCCCAGCCAGAGAAAGCAGGAGTTTGATAAGAAAGTTAGTAAACATTGCCAGTGGATTAAGGCAGAGATGAAATCAGTCACCGCTTGTTTAGGTCTGGATATCTCCTCCTCAGACCAGAATGGATCTTCATGGATGTAAGCTACAAATATGTTAAATAAATTAGATAAATAATGTCTCGGTCTCAGGGAAGGAGCCATCAAAGAATGGGACCTCTCCAAGCAAGGTATATTTCTATTGTGAAGGAGGTGATTGATGCTTCAATCAGAAACAACTTGGTGAAGGACATGTATTTCGAAAGCAGTGGCTGCTGAAGTAAATTTGTCAATCTTATAGTATCATGAATGCAGTGGTGAGTCCACGTAGCTGCTTTGCAGATTTCTTCCAGTGGAGCATCTGATCAGAAGGCTTCAGAAGTAGCTGCTGCCGTTTTGGAATGGGCAGTGACACGATCAGGCTTAGGGAGGTGAGAAACCTCATATGCTAGAAATATGCAAGCCTTGATCCACTTGGTGAAAGGGGGGGGAGGTCCCAGAGAGATGGGAATGAAGGAGATGAAGAGAGAGAGAGGTACATTTTCTGAAGGATGCAGTTCTTAAGATATAAATTTTGAGCACCCTTGTAGTATCAAGTCTGTGTTACTCCTTTTCCAAAGAGTGACTCGGGTTGGGACAGAAGAAAGGACATACAGTCTCCTGAAGTCTATGAAAGGCTGTGTTAAATTTAGAAATGAAGGGACAGTGCAGAGAGTTACAGTGTCAAGTAAAGAAGCGTAAGTGTTAATCAGTAGAAAAAAGTGAACTCAGGAATTCTACAAGCTGAAGTAATAACAAAGAAAGCCACCTTGAGAGAGAGAAGTTGAAGAGAGACAATATAAAAGTTCAAATAGTGGGTTAAAGAGGGCCTTGAGAACTACTTAAGAGTCTCTGTGAAGAAAATCGTGTATAACAGGTAGTTGAATTATGCATGCTGCTCGTAGAAACATCTTCAAGTGAGTAAGCAGAGCAGATAATGTCAGTCTGTGCCGTGTACTAGGATGGAGACCTGAATCCAGGACATCCTGGAGGAATGGTAATAATTCAGTGATACCTGCTGTAGACTGGGAAAGGTGTTTCCTGTGACACCAGTGGAGAAATGCCTTCCAAGTAACTTCATATGTGCTCAATGTGCAGGATCTGCATGACTCCAGAAGAGTAGACATTAATTTTTCAGAGTGCCCATGGTTCCAAAACAGTGTCTCCATGCGGCTAGTCTGAGTCAGGCTGGATCTGGGTGAAGAAGTAGTCATTGGCTGAGTAGGTTGGGAGAGACTGGAAGAAAGTATGGTTCCTCTATGGACAAAACCAGATGAGAGCCATCAAAACAACTGTGGCCTGTTGCAGTCTGATCTTCCAGAGCACTTTCAGTAACAGAGTTGTTGGTGGAAAGGCATATCATTGATCTGGAGACCAGGCAGTATTGAGAGCATTCTGGGCTTCTGCCATTGGTATATAAAATCTGCATAAGAGCCTCTGAAATTTGGCATCTTTGGAGTGGGAAACATATGTTCAATATGCCCCACATTAGTCTAGGATCTGATTGAACACTAAAGTGCTCAAACTCCATTCTCCTGGGTATGTTTTGTGTCCAGATAGTTTGCTGCGGTGTTGGTGGCAGACAGGGACAGAAGATTAACTGCTGCCCAGTAGAAGAGAATCATTGCCTTGTTGTGAAGGGAGTGGGTTCTTGATCCTCCTTGTTTGTTTAAGAATGCCTTGGCACAATACTGTCTGTTCTGATCAGGACATGTTGCTGTTGAAAATATTGGAAATGTACCATACGGGTTGCCACTTTCTGAAAAGTCAGGGAAATTATGATTAAAATATATTCAAACAATGGATTTTTGACCTGCTGCTGCAAGATCTGTTCTTGTGGCAACTGGAATAGAGAAGTAGCAGAATACAAGTAAATCTTAATGATGCCCTTTCCCAGCTCCACCTTTTTCTCAGCTCCACCCCCAGCAGCCAGCCTAATGTGTTTGTTGATCTCTGTCTTTGCATGATTTCCAAGGTGTGCCTGTAGCATTTGCAAAGCGGCTAGTTTAAACATTTAGCAAGATACAAACTTTAAACATGTAACTGTTTTCATCCCTACCTGCTAGTACTGCATTTAACTTACATATAAAGATCAGCATGTTTTGGGGTCATGCTTGTGTATGGAATGCACATTTTGTCTCCTGCTAAACCCAGCAGAGAGCTGCAAATTATTTTTGCTGCTGTTGGATTTCACAGTGAACTAGCACTTTCTACTCTGCAGCATGCATAGTAAATTTTTCAAATGTGTCGATTGCTTGTTCCTGCTGGAGTTTACAGAGTACCAGCTCTCTCACCCTCTTCTCTGACTTTTACCATGCATGAAGGCTGCAAATGTTGATTGTCTGCTTCTCTAGATTGCACAGATGATCTGCAAGCATTTATACTCCACCTCCTTTCTTGCTGTTGATCTACTCATTACACTTTCTGGAATCAGAAGGTGAAATTTAACCTTTCCCAGCTTTGGAAAGTTCCTACTTGAAGAAATTTGTTAACATCTTGGTGTCAGGCAGGTGTTTCTGTGTTTGACTGTATCTGAAACCACATTTTGAAGATAGCTTCTAAGAGGACACTTTTTAATAGGCAGTGGCTGGATTTCAAACTTCATCCTGACTTTGTTCCATGGCTATCACCAGTTGCTGGAGACAAATGTTATTGTAAAATGTGTTACAAAACCTTTGAACTAAATACTTTGGGAATTAGAGCTGTGGAGTCTCGTGCACAAGGAGCATTACATCAGAAGAACCTGAAAACTAAATCAAGTCAGCAGTCCATCGCAATATGTTTAGGTTCAAAGCCAAGTACAAGTTCAGATCGTAAAACCAGAGAAGTTAAGAGACAGCCACTGCAAAAACTGGAAAACACGATAAGCGATGAAAATGGCAAAGAATTACAGTTGGCACCTTGACTTACGAATGCCCTGACCTACAAATGTTTTGAGTTACAAACACCTCCGGCCGCAAAATTTTGCTTTGACTTGTGTTCAGAGCTTTGACTAACAAACAAAAAAAGGCAGGGGAAAAGGCGGGACATTAAAAAAAACTGTTGGTGGTGAAGAGGCTGCTTCTTTGTAGCTTTTTCACCCCAACAGTTAGGGAAAGGGAAGCTCAGGCTCCCGGCACCGCCACCATCACTGCCATTGGAGGCCTCAGGGCTTCCTCGCTGCCATGGGAGACCTTCCGGGGGGTCCCCTGCCACCGCCAGTCGCGCCTTCGGAGGCCTCCCAGGGCTTCCCCATTGCCATGGGAGATCTCCCGGGGGTCCACCAATCGCCGCCTTCAGGCTTTCCCGGGGGGGGTAGACTAGGCCTACCAGGGGAGGGCTTCCCCTGGTAGGCCCAG